CCTTTAAAAGGAGATCTTTGTATGCTGTGAGAGAGTTTGAAGCTTCAGTCCAAATTATATGTGTGGCTCTGCATGTCTACTGTTTTTTCACTCTGGTCTGTTCATTCATCTTGCTTCTGTAATAATACGTTTTTTTCTTCCTTTTTGTTATTGAGGACTAGCGAGAAGGAACAATGTTCAAAATTACTTCTAATAATTCTTGTCAAGAAGAATTTTAATAATCTAACAGCCATAATCACTTTTGTCCTCGAACTTTTCGCTTATGAGCTATGGAAATGTCAATATCCACATTCCCAACAGTCCATGACATATCCATTGCCAACCCAGGAAAACCTCAAACTCTTATAGAGTATTTGGTCATCTTGATAGGAGTTATATTGTCAACGTTGAATCTTTTTGGATGCAAGAAAATGGTGGAAGATAGTGTATTTCTCGCATTTGTGTGCATGTACACAAGACATTCACTCTACTGTACAATTGCATGCATATGCCTGAACATGCATATATATACTCATATTTATACACCCTTTAATCTTAGTTATCTTTGGGAAATTAGTGCTACTTCATCTACTATTCATGTTGCATCTATTTAACACGTGATCAGTTTCTGGGGCTTTATTCTAATGGATAGTTCAAATATATAGGTTAAATATACTGGCTGAGCTTCTTCGATTTGGTGATCGTGAATTTTACAGAGATTGGTGGAATGCAAAAACTGTTGGGGAGGTTGGTTTAATATTTCTTACATGCTTTCTTGAGTTACGTTTTTACAGTCCGGTTGATGAAAATTTTGGAATGTTAATGTTTCCTTGATGCATTTGTGGTCTGCAACTGTCACCAGTACTGGAGAATGTGGAATATGGTATGTTTCATTTCTCAAGCTTACTGTTAATTTCTTCCTTCTTGATTGTTACAATGCTACATTATTGCTGCAGTTGTGTCTTTGAGTCTTCTTTTTGGTCTTGTGGTGTACAGCTCATAGGTTGTCGTTACATTTCTCTCCATCTTTGTCCTGCTTCAATCTAGGATCATGACAATTTACGAGAAGATTTTATATTTGACCGAGCATTATTATTTATCTTTTTGTTTTGTTAATTTTATGTATTTGCTATTCAGAAGTTAACTGGTTTCTCTTTCGTTTCCATTCTCCACAATCTTAACAATTTTTTTTGGACTAGATTTATGGAATATATATGGTTGTGGAAAATGTCAGAAAGATTTATTGGCCGTGCACTGTGCATGTGCATGTTACTGACAGAATTTTAGTTGATTACAGCCTGTTCATAAATGGATGGTTCGCCATATCTATTTTCCATGCTTGCGAAATGGGATACCTAAGGTAATTGGTGTACTCCTCTACATGTTAGCCTATGTTAAATTGCCAGTACTAATGATTCCCAGTGGTCACAAGAAGAAAAGATGATATAAGGGAACTATCATCCTTGCCTAGTCTTGTCTTTGAACTGCATTACATGTCTTTTACGTGTTAATTCTGGAAGTTTACCCCCATAGCTGAATTAGCCAATTAGTTTAATTTTTAAGGGAACTTCCTCTATAACTCTTCTATGCATGAAGGCTTTTAGTCTAATAAATTTGTTTGACAAAAGTTATTTGATTGCTTGAGTTCTTTCAAGTAAGCATAATATCAACTAAAACATTAATTCTTAAGATTAAATTGACATTACTGCAGTTGTTCTAGACCTTGATTTGGTTTCATGTTTCCCTTTTTTTCAGGGAGTTGCTATTCTCATTGCATTCTTCGTTTCTGCTGTTTTCCATGAGGTATCTTGCTTCTTTGATGGTCTTCAAATCCTTCTTTTCTTTTTCTTTTTCAGGATGACCTTTTCATGTTTGTAGAAGAGGAGCGAGATAGTTTAACTAATTTGTTTCATGGCCACTTTGTGCAAATGTCGTACGAAGAATAGTTTTGCTATTTAGCTATTATGCACCATTGTTTATTACATTAAGTACGGGGTCTGGGGTTCAGTTGGAGGATTAACTAAACCATGCAAAAATTTTCTGCAGCCAAACCTCAAAGTTTCCTATAACTGCAAGGGGGCGGAGTGGGGGTCAAATGTATATATAGCTGCAGCAAATCTTTGATGGTTCTGTAATGTATTGGCATGTCGAGAAGCAGAATAGATAATGACGAAGATGAATTATGACCCATGAGATAGCTGGCAATTTTTATTTTTTTTCATCCCTGAAGGAAATATGTAAAGTGAGGTTGGCAGGGGGGCATAGTTAATTTTAATTTCTCTGATAACCTGTTGTAGCATGTTTAGATTTTTTTAAAGAAAGAAGGGAAAGGATTTGAGGGATGGAGAATTTTAAGGAATGAAAGGGTTCCTGGTACGTAAAGTCTTAGAAAATCTGGGTGCTTGCTTAGCCGATTACTGGCCTTGCCAGCTTATATCGAGGCTTGTGTAAGAGAAACTCTATTGTTTAGAATTTTGCATGGTTTTAAAAGAAAAATCTTAGCTTATATTTTCATTGATGATAATGACAATATTTATGGGGAAGCTATTTAAGATTAGATCCCTATTAAAAGTCCAGGATTCATAGATCCTGTAATTCCTATCCAACTCCTGGAAAGAAAGATAAGATCAAGCAGGTCCCCCTGTTCTGAGAACCTTAAATTTTTCCTAATTTCCGACTCAGCAGAGTCAGAACTGGAGAAGGAAATGACTCTCGCATTCCTTGCTCTGCGGTGGGTCCCTCTTGCATAGGTTTTACTGGAAACCTATCTTTTTGTGCGTCTATTCATTTTGGTGAGCAGCCATAACAGTATAATAGTTATATATTTCCTTTATTAGCCTCAATTCAAATTTTATATTTTTGTATAGTTATATATTTCCTTTATTAGCCTCAATTCAAATTTTATATTTTTGTTCTTGTACTGAGCGCTATATTCTGCATGCTACATATGTTTTATTTATGTTTTGAACACAACATTGGTACTTTATCATCAGCTCTGCATTGCTGTCCCCTGCCATGTGTTCAAGTTATGGGCTTCTATAGGCATCATGTTTCAGGTATGAACCTCTAAATATCTCTTATGCTTGGTGGTTTATTTGATATTGAAAATGCAAGTTATTGAACTCATTCCCTTTTCCCTTGTGAAATTTCTGGTTCAGGTTCCATTGGTCTTAATCACAGATTACTTGCAAAATAAATTCAGAAATTCAATGGTACGAAATCATTTTGATGCTTCTTTCTGCCATTTTTATTTGAAATTAGTATGAAAATTAAAATCCTTGCAGAAGATTTTAGGTATGCAAAGAAAATCTGCAACATACATAGTGTTGGTTTTAGAGCTTTGTATTAAGCTCTATAACTCACAAAGTAAGATTCAATTGGACCATAAATTACAGAAGTCTCTTTAAGTAAAAATCTGATTTTTCGTTGCTATGTTTAACTTTTTTATTTGGCTCGATAATTATCTTATTTCCAATGCCCTATCTGCCAGGTGGGCAATATGATGTTCTGGTTCTTCTTCTGCATTCTTGGACAACCAATGTGTGTCCTCCTTTATTATCATGACCTGATGAATCGCAAAGGGAAAGCTCAGTAAAAACTCGGAACATCCCAATGCACAATTACACTTATACATTTTGCGGCTACCATTTTCTCCTGCAGAGTACCTTTGATTGTGATGCAACATTGCATTGCATTTCATTTACCTGCAGCTTTGCTGCTTTCTGCACCACACGATGCATCTTTTCTGGGAGGAGTGATCGGATTCAATTAATGTAGGAGCAATTTTGATGGTATAAATGCATTGGCATCATCTAATGGAAAGTTGTACATGAATGTTATTTTGATTCTACCTTTCAGTGATACACTTGACTAGCCTACTGTACTTGTCTCTATTGGTTCATGCTCAGACAAACATCCACCCGCCTGCCTACGTCTTTCATGTTGTTTTCAACATGCAAAGATTAGAATTCTATGCTTGTGACTAAACCAATTTTCGCCTGTCCAGTGAAAGTTGGAGCGGTGGAAATAATTTGGTATAACAATCAGGGACTGACGAACCGATATTCACATAGCTTCGTCAGAATTAAAATGTTAGCAATTCCCCATACGAAAATACATGATTTTGTAAAGAATGGTAGAAAAAATTCCATGTATCCACAGATTTGATTAAAAAAATGAAAGTAAAATAATTACTCAAATAAGTATTACTGACACGCATGACTGTCATCTGAAAGTACTAACTTAATTAACGTTGCGACCAATTTTCATCAATGCGCTGTAATAGGTTCTTTTGACGATTGCCGCAAATAATTAAATTAAATGAATAAAAATATAAAATCGAGTCTAAAATTAATTTCGAAGATCACGTGCCTTTCTCAAACGCTCCACCATAGACAATCACACATACAAGTTATTTATATAATAAACGGCTCAAAATGAGAAATTCACCGTATAATTAATTATTGAAAAGGAAAAAAAAAAAGAGAGAGAAGAAGAAAGCAACAAAGTTGTCTAGTTTTGCAGCGTTTTCAGTCTGTATTAGAAAGAAAAATGGAAGATTTCAGATCCAAATCATGTGGTGATGGAAGAATGCAGATAGAGAGATCGTACGGTGGGATGAACAGTATGCAAGATCTGAGGTGCTACAGTGCCTCCTATACATATTCAGTTCACCCCACTGAAACCCAGGCGCGCCCTAGCAACAACAACGATGTTAAGCTGAAGAAAGGCAAGTCCGCTAATGGGTGTTCTTCGTCAAGGAGCTGGAGCTTCACTGATCCGGAGTTGCAGAGGAAGAAAAGGGTAGCTTCTTATAAGGCTTATACCCTTGAAGGAAAGGTCAAAGGGTCTTTAAAGAAGAGTTTTAGGTGGCTTAAAGGAAGGTGCACTAAATTAATCTATGGCTATTAATCATTTCTTTTTTTTTTTCTTTTCTGTTCAAATTAAGAAATGAATTTTAGAAAGGGATTGTCGGATCTCATAAATGGGCTGTGTAAATTAGAAGACTCTTTACTATCACAATCTTATGTTAAATCAGCTGTAATTTATTTGACCGGAGCTTGTTTGCTGAATCTATGGAGGACGATGGCTTGTGAAATCACTGCTTGAACTTGGATTGTTTACAGATTTTCCCTGTGATTTTCTTGGAAAACTTTTTACGGTTCCCTAACAAGACATTATCATTGTTATTAGTGTTATAATTAAATAATTTAATTTCATTACTGTATATTTATAGAAAATTAAGACTAATCTTAATACTAGAAGCAATATGACAAGATGTTTGCTATACTGTTTACAGAGAACGATTCTTAATTGTTGATGCTCTTGATTTCTTTTGTTTTCTCTTAAATACTATTAGAGTTTTGAATAATTTTCACACTTCAAAATCTAAATATATTTATGGTTTTACTTAACGTGAGAGAGAGAATGATAATATATTATTTTTTTAGATTTATTTTCTTTCTTATTTAATAGAAGTAATTTTTTCTCTCTTATATATTTACTAAGATGTAAGAAATTTTTATATTGAAGTCATTTTTTTATTGAACTCTACACATTTTAAGAAAAGAAAAATAATAGAAAGTTAGAATTACATACTGTTTTAAGATGATGCAGTCATAACGTGATCAATAGATCATTTGGAAAAAACTTTAATTCTCTTACTTACCTCTATCTAACTATTATGCACAAAACTTTGTAATTTTAACTGATGAAAAACACCTTGAAATGAGAATTTATGCTCATTTTATAGATGAGAGGAGAGATCAAAATATATTCAAGGTAATTGAATGTATTGATAACCGTTTATATTGTTGTAGATTAATACCTATAAAATATAACAATATAATAATTTATTTTAAGGTTACCCACCCCATCAAGGTATATTTTCTTTTATAACGGTTATTTATTATTTTAGATGTCATTTAAGTTGGGTTCAACCTTTATAAATAGATAAAAAATTAAAAAATAGGTTAGTGGGTCATCCACTTAATTACTAACATTAACATTTTCTCACTTGACCTACAAAACCGATTATGAAAACTATAATATATATATTTTTATATTAAAATATATTTATTGGTAAAAATAAATTTGATACGTAATTACAATAAAATCAGTTAACAAACCCAATATTACTATACCATGATACTGAAATAATTTAAATTATAAATGTGAATCATAGCAGTCACATGACTTCAATATCACATTTCTTTCTATGCACCACACACCAATAACTTTTACTAATTCAGTTCATAATGCCAAAATATTCTCTATAATTTGTCTTATCAAGACATTCTCTATTGATTAAATACTAAATTGTGTACCCATGATTAAAAATAGGAAATAACAGAACAAACTTTAATGTGCAAAATGTTAATTATTCAATCACTAAAATATCTATTGTCATATTATGGATTACTCAAAAAACCTAACATTACATGTTCTGCATACATTTGTAGAGGTAGTCCTTTAGTGAATGGATAAGCAATCATAAGTGTGTTACTAATATTTTCAATTGACATTTGTTGTTTCTGAATTCTTCCTCTAACAACTAAGTACTTTAAGTCCATGTGTTTGGATCCACTAGAATATTTATCATTCTTAGAGAAGAAAATAGCTGCAGTATTATCAAAAATTATTCTTAGCGGCTTGACAATAGAGTCAACAATACCAAGTCCTGAAATGAAATTCCACAATCACAAAGCATGACTTGAGGCTTCAAAACATCCTATAAACTCAGCCTCCATTATGGATGAGATAGTAATAAACTGCTTTACACTCTTCTATGAAATTGGCCCATTTGCTAGTATAAAGACAAAACCTAAAGTAGACTTTACGCTATCACGACAACCACCACAATATGAGTTTGAGTATCCAATCACATCTAATTGTTCTAATAATTTATATGTGAGCATATAATCTTTTGTCTCTTAAAGATACTTCATAACATTCTTTGCAACTTTCTAGTGTTCAATTCCTAGATCACTTTAATATCTTCCCAATATACCAAAAGCATAGCTGATATCTGGTTTAGTACATGTTTGAGCGTACATCAAACTTCTCACTGCAGATGCATAAGAATGTTCTTCATCCGTTCCTTTTTAAGTCATTTTTGGGCACTACTTTTACTTATTTGTCATCCTTAGATGGGTGCACACTGGCTGAACTGC